TACACACTAAGCATTAGTTCCTTGGGCATGGTGTCTGAATGCACTGCAGCTTTGCACTCTCAGGACAATTAAGCATTGGAGCAGGTTGCCCGGAGAGGTTGTGGAATCTCTGTCCTTGGAGGTTTCAAGATCCGAGAACAAAGCCCTGAACAAGCTGAGCTGACTGTAGAGCTGCCCAGCTCCAAGCAGGAGGTTGGACTAGAGATCTCCTGTGGTCCATTTCAGCCTAAGCTCTTCTATAATCATTTGATGTAACCCACTCACCTGAGAAATGATAAACTCAACTTCTCTCATTAATGTCCAAATTGAGTTTTTCAGTTGCTCTGGAGAAAGCTGGTATCTTCTGCTGACTGGTAGAAAGGAGTGGATTTAATGGTGTTACACTGAAAAGAATTCCTAATCAATAGGCATAACTGAGGAAAATTTGGGCCTGTTCACTAATCAAGACATGAAGAATGAGCGGGCTAGGTTTTAAAATCCAAATGAACTTCTGCCAACAAAGCCTGTAGGTTTGGTGTTGCTCCTTGGGAAGTGACATTCAGCTGTGCCTTCTTGAGGATGCCTTTTACGCACACTCTGCCTTGGCAACAGTTTAGAGGAAATGTGATGCATGGAAAACAATTTTTTGAGGTGGGGAATTGTGGGGGTTAACAGAATGATAGATGAATAATAGAAACAAGAACTTAAGCACTTACTCACTGAACACTGAGGTAAGAATCCTTGAGGAAGATAGAAAGAGAAGTTTGTAAGGAAGAAGAGACAACTTGGTTCGCTGTCCTGGCTCAATCATTTTTATATCAATTCTTGACCTTGTTACAGCTGTTAACAGTACTTGTGCCTGGAACAGTAATGGGACAGAAGCGAAGGGTAGGACGTCATCCGAGCCACCCAGCACAAGAGCTTAGGAAGAGCTATTTAACGGCTAAACCCCTTTGTGTGAGCTCTCAGTTCAGTTCTGGTTGTGTTAGCTGACTCCTGGATAGTGGAAGTATTTAATGTGCGTTTTTATTTTGTTTTTAAAAAAAGTTTTTGGAGGGCTGGCACTTTACTTCCCCCTCCCCCCCAATCTTTTGACTGGAAATTATGTGCTTGCTAAACAATGATAATCTGGATTAAATGACTTTCTAATTTAGAAAAGGCTGTTATGACTATTAATTTTTATCTCCTATAAAACTATGGCCAACATTTCTTCATCAAAGTATGCTTCCTGAAAAGGTTGAAAGGTAGCTCTGTTTCAGTCCCTCTCATGAAGAAATTTCAATTACACTAGCAAATCTTCATTAACTGTAGAGAATTTTTTTTTCTTTTTCCCTGCATTAACTTAATTTACTGTGTCTAAATTTTGAAGGTGTTCTTCCCACATTGGTTGTGCTTTCTGGGTATGTTTTTCCAGATTACCCTGCTGTTATCTGGATGTCCCAAATAACTTTCCATGGCAAATTATGATGACCATTCTATTTGTGTCCTCCTTTCAAAGTGTACAAAATTTGGACACTGTCTTCCAAAGCTGTAATATAATGGTGACTTAGAAATGATAGTCTTGCATTACTCTACCTAGCAACGTTTGCTGTGTAACCAGGAACAGCGATTCCCAGGTCTCTGAGTTGAAGGCAAGGGAGAATCACATGGGAAGGGGGTGTGTAGAATAGAAACCACTGAATCATAACAAATGGGCTTCATCACCCTAACTTTAGATACCTAAATATTAGGCATTCAAATCATCTAGTCACCTTGAGCTCTCCAATCAGTAGAAAAACAGGCATTTTCAGAGGATGATTTGTCTCACCTATCTGTGAAAGGAAATTTCCTGCTTTTCGTAAGAGAAGTGATTATACATTTCATAGTGGATAGAGCATATTTAAGACGGCTAGCTGAAATACAGCTATCTAATCTATGGATGACTGAATTAGGGCAGAAGAGTCCCACTGGACAGATAAAGTAGGTTCAGGCTCACCTCAGACATGCTTGGCTAATCCTTTTTCTTTGTGAAGCAAACCTGTGTCATTGGTTCATCACAGGGTAGGTGGCTTGAACTTGCATTTAGTAAGGTAGCTGATGATATGGGGAAGAAACACGGAATTTATTAATAAGCTGTCAGAAGGGCTTTCATGACTCCTGATAGTTAACACCGAGATCTCAGCCAGCAATTTTATCCGCAGATCTTAGTCTCTTCTCTAAGAAACTGCAGTATTATGTTTAATTTACTTTTTATCAGTTGTTAAATGTCTGAGGTGTATGGGTAGGAATGGCTCAGAGGAGATTGTCTTAAGGGTCAGAAAGATATGAATGTTATGCAGCACTTAGTAGTACTAAAATCACTGTAAAATGCTGCTATTTTGATCCGAGTTGGTGGCCTCCTCCCCCCCACTGTGCCAAGAGAAACCACCACATAAGATGCAAGGCCAAAAGACAATGAGTAAAACAATGCTCGTTTTGCCAGTGGCTCTCTCTTGTCTTCCCTTTCCCCTCACGGGTCTGAAGATGGAGGAGGAGGCTGTGTGTAAACAGGATCATTTAAGTTCTGCTTGCATCCCTAGGTCAGTCCCACCACAAAGACCTCAGTTCCTACAGAAATTATGTACAACATCGACTTCTTTTCTGCTTCTGTAATGCTCGCCATCCACCGTTTTGTCTGCTTGGCACCGTTTCAATATGAGTGTGAAGCAGCAATATACCCCAAAGAGATGTAACTACTATTCCTGTCTTACTGTTTTCCATAACCTTTATGCCAAGTCTACAGAAGTCATCCCCTCTTCCCCTGAAAACAGAGACGTGACTTGACTTGTGAGTGTTTGATCCCTCCATAGTGTGGAAGGGAATTTCCTGGGGTTTGAGAGAGGGGTGGATTATACGTTTAATAGTGGATTAGTCATTTAATGGCAGAGCAAAGCCATAATGATAAATGAAATCACCTGTGTCTTGTTTGCACCCTTATGTATGGTAGCAGAAATTCTCTTGCCTGATAATGGATTAGTACTGTTGGCATGCATTTGTTTTTAAATTAGGCTGTGGGATTTTGCTGGCTGAAACGGTATTGGATGATGAGAAGAAGAACAGGAGCACAGCCCTGCTGCAGTCTTTGAACATGCTTGTGCAGACAGAGGGAAAGGAGAGAAGTGGCTCTGAATATCGAGGCTTACTGGAACAACATGGATTCACAAATGTCAAAATCAGATTGACAGGAAATCTGTTAGATGTCGTTCTCTGCATGAAGACCTAGGGAAAAATGGATATAGTAGTAAAATCTGGATGTCTCTAGTCATGTTTGATGTTTTGTAATTATGCAAATAAGTTCTCAGTTTCCCGTCAATATTATGAACAGGAAATGCTAATGTCAGCTTTCTGAAGTTACTTTTAAAAAGGGGGAGAGACTGATTGCATTTATTTTGAACTTGAGTAAAATGATGCCAGAAGATTCTGGCATCATTTGATGGCAGTGATACTGTGGCTGCACAACGCTTGTGGTACCCTCAGAAACAAGTCTCCCATCACAAATGGTATCAACAGCCCTACGGCAGTATTCATGTTGCTGAGAAATCACAATTTCATCATACTTGGTGCAATTAGAGTAGTTTTTAGACCAGCACACATTGCTTTGCCCCTGTTTCAGGAGGTTAATGCAGGTATCATTTCCATACTTCATCACCATCCATTTTAATATCATTTTACATTACACTCTCTACTGTAAATAAAGAAACATTGTCTAATGAAGTCTGGAAACTGCTACGGCAATGGCGTAGTCAGGATTGGAAACAGAAGAACTGGAGCAGCAGCTTCTCAAGAGGGTCAAGACAGACTCCTCTGCCTTCTGTGAGTTCACTGGAAAAGGCAGTTGTATAAAAGCACAAGTTTCATCTGTGATTATAATTGGAGATGAAATGTGGGGGCACCACATTTGGTGCAAGAACATCCTCCTCCTCCTTTTTAGCCCTACTTAATTTGTGAGCTCCTACGAAAGTGGATAGCGGAATATGAGATTAGGTAAAGAACAGAAAAGAAAAAAAAAAGTGCAGAAACAGAAGGAAAAGCGTGGTGCTAAAGAGAAAAGGATTTCCCCCAGTCAGATGCATCTGAGCTCCCAAGGTGAACGGGACAGGACGACTATTGGCTGAACAGTTTCGTATCACAAAAGTTAAGTTCGTTTTACCTTCATTTTTCAAACTGACAACGCTTCAGAGTCCCTGCGTATGAAGTTCTTTTTTAATCAACAGAAGACTTTGTGGGGAAAAAAAATCCCAGCCTTGCACGCATTGTGTTCTGCTATGAGAGTATTAATATTCAGTTATGAGCTTTTTTAAAAGAAAGATGCCGCGCTAAGCTCTGTGTGCCTGCCTGAGCAGATGCACCACAGCCTTTCATTGATTACATCCAAAATACGGTCCTGTAACGCTGTACGTGCCTAACCCTGTGTGGGCACAGGAGTCACTTCACTGGATCTGTATTACGATTTAGAATATAAAATAGCACACAATTTACTTCCTGTCTTCTGATATGCAAAAAAAAAGGTATAGTGACGTATAGTACATGGTCTGTCATACCACAGCAGAGAGAAGGGCTATGCCGGGCACATCCTGTGCTCACAACACGCCCTCGGAGCAGGAGGCTCTCATTTTGAAATCCTGCAAAGTAGATACATGTGTAAGCAGTGGTTTCAGACACCTCAGCTACTGCAACTTTGTGGTTCACCAGTCATCTATTTAAAAAAAAAAGTTTGGCTTTGTTTACTTTTGTAGGAAACATCCATTAAAAGTGAAAGCAATTACAAAAGGTGCGCGTAAAGTAATGCCCTCCAGCTAGAACAATTTCAAGACTTACTTTCAGAACGAATAGGTCTAATTTCAGACAGAAGTTTGGCCATTAGGTGTAAAATCTCACTTTCGGCATGCAATAAAATTAGCAGAGATGACTGACGGGGACCAGGCCTGTGTTTGTAGGGGCAGAGGCCCTGCCATGAGTGCCTGCTCGGGCAACCTGCGGAAGGGCTTTCCACAGCGTCTAACCTTGAGCGCCCAAACAAGAAGCCGGGACCACGCTTCCCCGTCGTCCCTCTAGGAAACCACCGTTAAGTTCTTTGGCGTGACATTGTCTCTTTGGCATGTCACTGTCTCGGATCACTTCAGTGGCCGACAGTAAAGCCCGTGTAAGGGCAGAGTGACGCTTGGCACCGCAGTGGTGAGGAGGAGCAGGTGGGAAGAGAACCTGGAAACAAGGAGATGCCTTCGATCAGCATTACCCTGAGGGCGGCGAGCACAGAGCAAAACCTGCTGGCCCCCAGCCAGCGCCCCGGACGCCCTGCGCCCGGCCGGGGCCGGGGGCGGGGAGCCGCGCCTCCGTCCGACGCCGGCCTCCGACGGTTACCACCGGGTGAGCCTCCCAGTGGCCTTGGTTGTCGCGCTTGTTGACCGACCGTACGGGCTCGCAAACCCGTACCCCAAATCCGGTGCGCCGCCCGCCTGGCGCCCTGCTTGGTGCCCGGCCCCGTGGGGCACACCGTTTCCGCGAGATGGGACCCGTTGGGTTGTACGCGTTCCTGCCTGCTCTACCGCGAGCGGCGCAAAGCGACTGCGGTAAACGCTTCAGGAGGCGACTGTTGCGGAAAAAAATCGCGTGAGCGACGGTGACCTTCACGCTGTGCGGCGGC